AGAGCGCTATAGCCTTGAGCAAAAAAAAAAGCTCCAGGATAGCTCTTGGGCCCTGAGTTCGAGTCCCAGAACCAATGAACACACACACACACACACACACACACACACACACACACACACACACACACACACACACGGAAACATTCTAAGTCAATACATGGAAGCAGAGACTATCTGTATGCCAGACTGTTAACTATTTAGTCTCTTTGCCTTCACGGCCTCAAATCATCCATTGTTATGGAGTGTGGAAGTGTGGAAGCGGCTTTGGGACAAGGAGTTGGGGACTAGCTGACAAATCTGTGGCTTAGCCAAAGAAAAAAACCATGAGCAAATGTGTGTGAAATCCCAGGAAAAGGATTCTTGAGAATCTTGTTAAGTGCAAAAAGTCCATAGGCCGAGTATTTAGGTGAAGTGACAGGGCTTGACCTGGAGGGGGCGCCGGTGGGCTGGAGCTGAGGTGGTAAGGACATCTTGCAATGTACTTATTTGTACCTTGTGTAAACCATCATCATCATCATCCATTAGGGGCTGGGAATATGGCTCAGTAGTAGAGCGCTTGCCTAGCATGCATGAAGCCTGAGTTCAATTCCCCAGTACCACATACAGAAAAAGCTGGAAGTGGCGCTGTGGCTCAAGTGGTAGAGCACTAGACTTGAGCAAAGAGCTCAGGATAACATATTGGAGTTTGAGGAATCGAACCCAGGGCCTCAGGCATGCAAGGCAAGCACTCTACCACTGAGCCACCTTCCCAGTGCCCCCCCCCCCTTTTTAGTTAGGATTTTGTGTGTGTGTGTGTGTGCGTGCCAGTTCTGGGACTTGAACTCAGGGCTCCATGGTCTTTGCTTAGTTTTTCCTCTTAAGGCTAGTGCTGCTCTATTGCTTGAGCTACATCTCCACATCTACCTTTTGCTGGGTTCATTGGAGATAAGAATCACATGGAGCTTTTCATCCTGGCTGGTTTGGAACCTTGATCCTCAGATCTCAGCCACCTGAGTTGGTAGGATGAAAAGCACCCGCTGCCGGTACCTGCCTGCTTGCTTTAGTTATTTTTAGAGCAGTGTTTCATTTATGGCTTCTACTGAGCTGGTATGACTGTCATTCAACACCATGCCCCGCTTATTGCAATTGAGATGGGGGGGGGGGAGGGGGAGGGAACCTCTGCCACCAAACTACTTGGGATTACAGGTTGAACATTCTCATGCTTGTCCTTTCTGTATGTATCAAATGAATGAGCCTGAGACTGGGCCCCATTCCCAAACCAACATGCAGTTTACTGTATCTCATTTAATGTCTTTTGCTGCTTTCTGGGCAGACCGCCCTGGGAAGGGTTTGGCCAGGCCAGGGGCGGTGGCTGCCCTTCCCTGTAGAGACACATGGCTCCAGCTGCTTGTGTGGCTGAAGGATTGGGGTGCTGGGGAGGTGGGGGTGGGGCCTGGACCAGAGCGTGGACTCTTGCTGGCCTGGCATAGGCCACACATACAGTTGTAGGTCACAGCCCCTGAGATCTGGGCCTTAGTCCAGGCAATTTTCCAGGGTAGAAAAAAAAAAATCAGGAAACAAATACTCATGAGAGCCCCCAGGAAAAAAGCCTTCCTGTCCATGGCTTCTCTCATTCATAGAACGATTGGACAGGGAAATCGGAGAGTATCACAGCCCGAGGCTCAGCAAACACGAGTCGGAGATGCCAAGGCTTCCTGACTCGCTGGGAGCATGGGTGTGATGGGAAGCAAGCTCCCAGAGCCCGGTACTAGTAGCGCAGGCCTGTAATCCAAGCTACTCAGGAGACTGATTGCTGAGGATCCACCGTTCCAAAAAGCGTCTTACCCACCCCCCAAAAGAAGAGCTAAAAGCAGCTCAGAGACAGTGCCCAGATCCTGAGTTTAAGCTCCAGGACCTGCACCAAAAAGAAAAAAGAAAAGCTTCCAGAGGAAACTTGGCTCATTCATTCATTCTTTTATCCTTCTTCGTTGAAATAGAGAGTCTTTTCAGAACTGTGCCAAGCCGGGCCACCAGCTTTGACACACACTCCGCATTGTATGTGGGGACCTTGCCTACAGCCAAGTTAAAGAGACAGAAAGGACCTTTCAGTTTGTTGCAAAATAAGTGGTTTTCTGCCCCGAAGCCAGGGCCCTTCGCCTCATGGGACCTCTGAGAATCTTACAGGCCACCCCTGCACCGCGTGCCATTGCTTATGATTTACTGCACTTGGAGTTTTCTTTTTGTCGGTTGTTGGACTTGAACTCAGGGCCTGGGTATCATCCCTGAGCCTCTTTGTGCTCAAGGCTAACACTCTACCCCTTTGAGCCACAGCGCCACCTCTGGCTTTTTCTGTGTATGTGGTGCTGAGGAATCGAACCCAGGGCTTCATGCATGCGAGGCAAGCACTCTACCACTGAGCCACCTTCCCAGCCCTCCCCCTGCTACCCCCCCCCCCCCCCCCGCTTTTATAAAAGCACCTGAAGCAGGCAAAATGGACCTGGATCAAATCAGTCCTAGCTGGGGTTCTAAAAAGCATTTACATGATTTCTAGCAAGATATTTTTTTGGGGGTGTATGTGTGTGGTTATTAGGGTTTGAACTCTGGGTCCTCAAGCCTGTTAGGCAGATGCTCTACAGCATGAGTCACAGGCCCAGTCTTCTGGGTTTTTATTGTCCCAACAGTATCTGCATTTTTTTTTTCTGGGCTAGCCTGGACTGTGAGCCTCCTCGTGAGGATCTTGCATAGATGGAATGGCAGGAACCCACAACCGGACTGGGCTTATCATTTGAGATGGAATCTTGCTCGCTTCTTTCCCTGGAGCTAGCCTTCTAATCTCTTACCTCCTGTAGTGGTTGAGACCGCAGGCTTGAGCCACTGTGCCTGGACTCATTTCTAGCATTCCTAAAAATCCTTTCATGATGGTATACTCGATGGGATACTAACTTTATAGAAGCTATGATTATTTTGTGCTGGTCACAGCTCTACTGCAGGCTCTTTGGTTGCTTACTTGGAGGTAAGTCTCATGGAATTTCCTACTTGGACTGTCTTCAGATCTCAGCCTCCTGATGCCAGGCCTTTAGTCATGTAAAGCTAGGATTACAGGTGTGGGCCACCAGTACCTGGCTATTATTATGACTAGTGCCAGAACTGGTGCTTGAACTTGGTGCCATTGTTTGTTCATGAGCTGTTGAGCCATGCCTCCAGCCCAGCCTTTTGCTAGTTAATTGGACGTAGAGTCTGACCTTCCCAGCCCCCCCAAAATCCTTGGGAAGTTTAAGTAGGAAGTGACTTCCTCTTCCCTTTCCTGACCCCCCCTTCCCCCCCACCTCAGGAGTGCCCGCCCCTCTCCTCCCAGGCCCTCCCCTCCCCTGCCCATCTCTCCTCTCCCCTCTCCTCCCTCCTCCCCCAGCCCCTCCCCTCCCCCTGAGAGTGTCCGCCCCCTCTCCTCCTCCTCCCCCAGCCCCTCCCCTCCCCCTGGGAGTGTCCGCCCCCTCTCCTCCTCCTCCCCCCAGCCCCTCCCCTCCCCCCTGGGAGTGTCCGCCCCCTCTCCTCCTCCTCTCCCCCCCAGCCCCTTCCCTCCCTCCTGAGAGTGTTTGCCCCCTCTCCTCCCCTGCCCACCTCTCCTCTCTCCTCCCCTCCATCCCCTCCCCTCCCCCAGGAGTGCCCACCCCTCCCCTCCCTGATTCTCCCCTCCCTCCCCTCCCCTCCCCCTCTCCTAGGAGTGCCTGCCCCTCCCCTGTCCTCCCTTTCTGTCCCCTCCCTCCCCTCCCCTTCCTCCCTCCCCAGCCCCTCCCACTCCTCTCCGCCCCCCTCTTTCCCCCTCTCTTCTTTCCTGACCGGCACCCCTCCCCTCCCGGCCTTTCCCCCTTCCCCCACCTCTTCCCCCTCCCCTTCCCCCCCTCTCCCCCCTTCCCTCGCCTCTCCCCCTCCTTTTCCCCCCTCCCTGCCTCTCGCCCTCCCCTTCCCCCCTCCCCCTCCCCGGGAGCGCCTGCCCCGCCCCTCCCGCCCCGCCCCGCCCCTCCCTCCCCCGCCCCGCCCCTCCCTCCCTCCCGCCCCTCCCTCCCTCCCGCCCCTCTCCCCCCCCCCCCCCCCCCCGCCCCGCCCCGCGGTCCGGCCGCCCGCGCTCGCCGCGCTCTCGCTCTGACTTCCGCGTCCCGCCGGCCTGGGCCCCGCGCTGCTCCGCCGCCGCCGCCGCCGCCGGCCCGGGACAATGGGCCGCGGGCCCCCGCCGCCCTGAGCTTCCGGAGGGGACGGACTGCGGGGGGCGCGGGCGCGGGGGCCGCTCGGGAGGGGAGCCCGGCCCCAGCCCCAGCCCCAGCCCGGCCCCAGCCCGACCCCAGCCCGGCCCCGGCCCGGCCCGGCCGCGGTGAGCGGAGCGCCCCTTCCCCCCCCCCCCCCAGCCCCCCGGATCCTGGGTTTGGAGGGGATCAGGTGAAGTCAGGAGCCAGCGATGACCCCCCTCCCTCCTTCTCTCCCCACACTGTAGAAACTGGAAAGAAAAGAAGAAGAAAATCAAGTCTCACCGCCCCGGACGGCTGGGATCCCTGAGGTCGGACCGAGAGGAAGTCATGCTCCTCAGCCCGCCCTGGAGGAGGCTGACTTTACCTGTCCCGGGTAGAACTTGATTGAGCTAGGCCCCTGGGCCTGCCCCCCTCCCTCCCTCCCTCCCTCTCCCCCACCGATCCCCCCACCGATCCCCCCCACCGATCCCCCCCACCGATCCCCCCACCGATCCCCCCTCACCCCACCGATCCCTCCACCGATCCCCCCCACCGATCCCCCACCGATCTCCCCCACCGACCCCCCCTCACCCCACTGATCCCCCCCACCGATCCCCCCACCGATCCCCCCTCACCCCACTGATCCCCCCCACCGACCCCCCTCACCCCACTGATCCCCCCCACCGACCCCCCTCACCCCACTGATCCCCCCACCGATCCCCCCTCACCCCACCGATCCCCCCACCGACCCCCCCTCACCCCACCAATCCCCCCCACCGATCCCCCCCACCGATACCCCCCCTCACCCCAGCAACATGGACAAATACGAAGACCTGGGCCTGGAGGCCAGCAAGTTCATCGAGTACCTGAACATGTACGAGGCCTCCAGGGACGGCCTCTTCCGGGTGGACAAAGGGCCCAGCAACAACCCCGAGTTCGAGGAGACCCGGAGGGTGTTCGCCACCAAGATGGCAAAGATTCACCTCCAACAGCAGCAGCAGCAGCAGCAGCAGCAGCAGCAGCTCCTCCTGGACAGCACTCTGCCCAGGGCCAGCAGCCGGGCCTCCAGCCACAGTGGGGACCTCCTGGCCACCACCCCATCCCATCGTGACCCCTCAGTGGCGGGCAGAGGGGTGACAGATGGAGCCTCCAAGCCCCCGCTGGCTGCCCCCACGCTTGGGGTGACCCCCGCGGCAGCCTCTGGGCAGCCTTCTTACCCGGGCCAGGAGCAGAGGGCCAGGCCGTGTGTCCAGACCACCTGGCCGGGCAGCCAGGAACGGGATCCTCACCAAGGCCCCCCAAATGCTGAGCCGGGACCCTGCCAGGACCCTTCCTGCCTTACCCATGGGGACTATTATGACAACCTATCCTCCACCAGCCCCCCGTGGGATCATCAGCCAGGAGTGACCCCCAGTTTGGGCTCAGGGAAGGGAAGTGGATGGTCTGATCCCCCCCTACCCAGGCCCACCCGGGAGCATCACCAGCACCAGCCTCCGCCCTCTCTGATGAGCCCCAGCAGATCTTTCCAGAGCGGCCTGGGTGGGCAGGATGGAGCTGGTCGCCACGGCCAGAAGCCCGCCGGCCTGTGGGCCACGGCCTCCTCTCAGAGGATGCACTCCACGCTCCCCCAGCCAGGCTTGGAGAACGGGGCTCCAGCGCAGCAATCCAGGAGCGCCCCTGCCTCAGTTTCCCCCAGTCAAGGAGACCTTCTGAGAACCAACCCCGGGCCAGGATGTGAAGTGTCAGGACCGGCATCCAAGTCCACCACGGCGGCCCCTCAGCCCTGGCTGCGAGATCGGCCCCCGTCTTACCTGTCCAGTTCTGCTCCCTTAACTCTGCCAGCTGGCCCCGAGAATCCCCAGCCGGATGGGGTCCCAGGGCTGGGTCCTAAACCCCAGTGTCCAGACCTTGGCACGGCTCCGAAACTCGGTTCCACCAATCCCGTCGGTCCGGTGATGTCCACTCAGCCCGATTTATCTCAGCCAGAGAGTCCTTCCAATTGGTCCCCTGAGGGTCCTGGAGGATCTGTCCTCTCTAAGAGTTCAAGTCCCTCCCGGGTGAGACTGCCCTGTCAGACCCTGGTCTCCAGCTCCGAGCTCGGACCTTCTGCTGTAGAATTGAAGCTAGAAGCCCTCGCCCAGCGACTAGAGCAAGAGATGGATGCTTACCCAAAGGCCGATTATTTCGGTGAGTCAAAAGTTGGGCTGGGAAGGTGGCTCAGTGGTAGAGTGCTCGCCTACCACACATGAAGCCCTGGGTTCGATTCCTCATTACCACAGAAAAAGCCCGAAGTGAGGCTGTGACTCAGATGGTAGAGCACCACCAGCCTTGAGGAGCAAAAGAAGCTCAGGGACAGCGCCCAGGCCCTGAGTTCAAACCCCAGGACTGGCAAGAAAGAAAGAAAGAAAAAAAGCCAGTAGCTTTCCACTGTGGGTGAGCTTTTTCACTCAAGGCTGGGCTCTACCACTTGAGCCACAGCCCCACTTCTGGCTTTTTGGGTGAGGATTGGAGAGAAGTCTCGCAGACTTTCCTGTTCATGCTGGCTTCGAACTTCGATCCTCTGAACTCAGCCTCCTGAGTAGTCAGGGTGACAGGCGTGAGCCACAGGGGCCAGGTTCCTATGTAATTTTTGTCCCAGGTAACGAGATGTGGGTGTTTTGGTTGCTGGACAAGGTCCTACCAAAGTGTCCCTTTGGGTCTATCTGCCTGCGGAAAGAGCTCGTGAACTGTGACAGCCCTTAGAGTCTGAAATCTTCTGGTTATTGATTAACTCTCCTGGTACTTTCCACGGCTTTCTTAGTAGGGCTTTCTGCTAGATCCTTTCCTGACTTTTCCGTCTGTAGCTTTTCCCTGTCATGAAGAAGGAAGGAAAGAGGTAAGGACAATTTTCTTCCTCCTTTTTTTTTTTTTTTGTTGTTCCTGTCTTTGGGCTTGAACTCAGAACCTGGGCACTGTTCCTGAACTTAAGCTAACTGAAGAGTCTCAAGGACTTTGCTGCCCAGGTTGGCTTTGAACCATGCTGCTCAGATCTTAGCCTCCTGAGTAGTTAGGATTACAGGTGTGAGTCATTGTGCTCAGCTTTTGTCTTTAATAGATGTATTTATGGGGTACAGTAGGGCATTTCAACTCATGATACAATATAATAATAATACTATACTATGTAATCTAATAATAATAATATCAGGGTCATTGGCCTGTCACCTTAGACATTTTTCAGGTTTTTTTTTTTTCTTTTTCTTGTGTGTGTGTACTGGTATTGGGACTTGAGTTCAGGCCACTTTTTCACTCTTGGCTTTTTTGCTTAAGTCTAGCCCTCTACCATTTGAGCCATAGCTCTACTCCTGCCTTTTTTTAAATTGGTCATGGGTCTTAAACTCTGGGCCTGGGCGCTGTCCCTCAGCTCTTTAACTCAAAGTGAGTGCTCTACCACTTGAGCCACAGTGCCACTACTGTTTTTCTGGTGGTTTAGTGGAGATCAGAGTCTCACAGCCCTGTCTGGGCTGGCTTTGAATTGCCATCCTCAGATCTCAGCCTCCTGAGTAGCTAGGATTATAGGCGTGAGCCTATAGTGATGTATAGAGAAGTTATAGTTAAATAAGTCGGGTAGAGTACATTTCTTTTGGGACTGTCACCCCTCCCTCTCTCTCTCCTCCTGTTCCTGCTTACAAGTTGTATAGTTCATTTTCCACAGTGTCTAGTGCATACTATACTTCTACCATTTTTTTTTTTTTTTTTGCTAGTTACTGGAGATAACAGTCAAATTTGTTATCCCAGGTTAATTTCAAACCTTGACTCTCAGATCTCAGCCTCTTGAGGCAGGAGCTAGCTTGGAGATGAGGTTTTTTTTGTTGTTTTTTTTTTTTGTCGGTCGTGGGGCTTGAACTCTGGGCCTGGGCACTGTCCCTCAGCTCTTCAGCTCCAGGCGAGTGCTCTACCACTTGAGCCACAGCGCCACTTCCGGCTTGTTTCTTTTTGCTTATGTGGTGCTGGGGAAATCGAACCCAGGGCCTCTTGCATGCAAGGCAAGCGCTCTACCACTGAGCCACCTTCCTAGCCCAGAGATGAGCTTTTTAGCTTCCACATATTTTTCTTTCTCAGTTCTGGGGCTTGAACTCAGGGCCTAGGTGCTATCCTTGAGCTATATGGCTCAGGGCTCAACCACAGCTCCTCTTCTGGTTTTTCTGGTGGTTCATTGGAGATAAAAACTTTCCCAGACATGGGCTGGGAAGGTGGCTCAGTGGTAAAGCGATTGCCTTGCATGCCTGAGGCCCTGGGTTCGATTCCTCAGCACCACATAAGCAGAAAAGAAAAGCCGGAAGTGGGGCTGTGGCTCAAGTGGTAGAGCGCTAGCCTTGAGCTGAAGAGCTGAGGGACAGAGCTCAGGCCCAGAGTTCAGGCCCCACGACCGGACCCAAAAAAAAAAAAAAAAAAAAAAAAAAACTTTCCCAGACTTTCCTGTCCAGGCTGGCTTAGAACTGTGATCCTCAGATCTCAGTCTCCTGTGGTAGCTAGGATCACCGGTGTGCGCCAGCTTGGAGAGGAGCTTTTAGCTTTTTTAGCTTCTACCTCTAAGGGGGCCTGGTGTTTGTCCTTCTGTGCCTGGTTCATTTCATTTTACAGGATCAAGGGCAAACTGGGTTGAGGGACTCCATGGAGAAGGAGTCCATCTTCCTGGCATTTGTTGGTCTTGGAAGACATAGTGTGGATCCTGTCTGTACTATCTGTTCACGCTGCAGGGGGGAGGTGAAGAGGGCATTCTTGGGCTTTTAAGGTTCAGTGGTAACCCTGATCTTCTCTTCCATGATGCCTGCCTTGCCCACACCGGTCCTCCTTTCCATTACTAAGAAATGGCCAAGGGGCCTGGCACCGGTGGCTCATGCTTGTCATCCTAGCTACTCGAGTAGGAGGCTGAGATCTGAGGATCGCAGTTCAAAACCGGCCCTTGGAGGACACATCAGTGAGACTCTTAGGTCTGGTAAACCAGCAAAAAGCTGGAAGTAGAGCTCTGGCTCAGGTGGTAGAGCATCAGCCTTGAGGTCCTGAGTTCACGTTCCAGTACTAGCACACACACACACACACACACACACACACACACACACACACAGCACCAAGTAAACACCTGAGTTCTCTGGGAAACTGACACCCCCCCCCCCCCCAGAGAGTTTAGTGTGCGGGAGGCTTATTTAGGGGTGCTGCTGTTGTTAGGGTTCCCCACTAACCGTGCAAAGGAGCCTGGGACTTACAAATGCCCTGGAGAGCCATGTTGAGTTGGTTCCACATTTCTTGACCTTTGGCTCTCCCTCATGGATTTAGTCACTAGATGTGGGCTGCTTTGGGAATCTGGTGACCTCAGGCGAAGTGGCCTTATAGCAGCTGGAACCATCTTTGGACAGGGGCTAAAGGCTGTGAGGGTCACCCACCTACCATGCTGCATACCAGCCACTGGGCTGTGGTTTCTGTGAAACATCTGTCTCAACTTCCCTGCTTGGGATAGGTCAGGAAAACATGACCTTGGGCCTTCTGGTTTTGTTTGTTTGGGGCTTGAACTCTGGGCCTGGGCGCTGTCCCTCAACTCTTCAGCTCAAGGCGAGCGCTCTACCACAGGAGCCACAGCCCCACTTCCGGTTTTCCAGTGTGGTTTATTGGCGATCAGAGTCTCACGGACTTTCCTGCCCGGGCTGGCTTTGAACTGTGATCCTCCGATCTCAGCCTCCTGAGCTGCTAGGATGACAGGTGTGAGCCACCAGCGGGTCTGTTGAGGTTTGCTGTGTGCTTTGTAGACATTGGTTTAGCTCTGTGGGAAGTAGTATTCTTCGTTTCTGGTAGAGAAACTGGTACCCTGAGGGATCAGGTGACTTGCTCAACAACACAGGTATGAGAGGTATGAAAAGAAATGAAGCCTCTACCCTGGGGCCTGCCTGGGCTTTTTTTCCCCCCTTTTTTCTCCTTTGATGGCTTGAGCGCTGAGGCTTGGTGATCTCTTAGATGAGAGCTGGATTTCTGCCGTTGAACCCTTGAGATTTGCAATCTTATCACAGGCTGCCAGGGCATCTGTGGTTTTTCTTTTCCCTTCCTGCACACTCAAGATATTGATTTCTCTGTGTGTGTTTGTGTGTGTGTGTTTTGGTCAGTCATGGGACTTGAACTCACGGCCTGTGCACTGTCCCCGAGCTCTTTTGCTCAAAGCTAGCACTCTACCGCTTGGAGCCACAGCGCCACTTCTTTGCCCAGGCTGGCTTTGAACCGGGATCTTCAGATCTCAGCCTCTTGAGTGGCTGGGATTGCAGGTATGAGCTACCAGTGCCCGCTAAAATGCTGGATCTTGTAGCACCCGTGTGGTCAGGACAGCACCCCACCCCAGCCCGCTTGGCCCCGTCTTATAATCCTCCCCTGTGTGGATCGAGTTCCCACACTGCCTTGCGTGTCCCATCCTGCCTTCTCTTGGTCCCGTCCCATTCCTCCGGGGACATTATGTTTTTGCTCTTTGACTTTGGGACTAGGAAAGAATGTCCGTCCAGTTTTCCTGGATTTTCCATTAATAACCCACAGCATGAAACTGAACTTTCGATGTGGCCTCTGTGTGTGTGTGTGTGTGTGTGTGTGTGTGTGTGTGTGTGTGTGTGTGTTGGTACTAGGACTTGAACTCAGGGCCTGGAATGAACTCAGGGCCTGGAATTCTCCTTTCCTTTTTTTTGGGGGGGGGGTCGGTCGTGGGTCTTGAACTCTGGGCCTGGGCGCTGTCTCTCAGCTCAAAAGCTCAAAGCTAGCGTTCTACCACTTGAGCCACAGCGCCACTTCTGGTTTTCTGGTGGTTTATTGGAGATAAAGAGTCTCCCAGAGTTTCCTACCCAGGCTAGCTTTGAACCGTGATCCTCAGATCTCAGCCTTCCTGAGTAGCTAGGATGACAGGCCTGAGCCACCAGGCTTCCAAGTGTCTATTTCTTTTACATTTGTTAACGTGTGACTTTCATCTTGGTGACAGTACTGTGGAAGAAATCATCCAGTGGGGGGCGCTGGTGGCTCGTGCCTGTGTCATCCTAGCTACTCAGGAGGCTGAGATCAAAGGCTCAATCACCAGCCCTAAAGGTCTTGGAAGGCTTTCACTGTAGCTGACTTAGGTATGATCTACACAGGGACATCTGGGAGCACTGGTTTGGGGTGCTGAGTGTCCATATTTTTCCTGACATATCCTTGGCTTCCTCTGAGGTTTCCTGTGTGGATCTTGGGCAATGCTGGCTCTCGGGCTTGGTCATTTGACCCAGTACCTGTGCCCAAGGCCTAGCACTGTGTCCCAGTGCCCTAATGTTAAGTGGAATGGCTCACTGGCAGTCTGCTTGGGAGAATGGATGGGGCCTGAGCTGGTGTGGAAGAGACAGGGACTTTTATTTTATGTTTGCCAGCCCTAGGGCTTGAACTCAGGGCCTACGTGATGGCCCCCCTGAACTGACTAACGCTGTACCACTTGAGCCACAAAGTCACCTCCAGCTTTTCCTGAGCGGTTCATTGGAGATAAGAGTCCCTCAGGCTTTCCTTCCCCTGGGCTGGCTTCAAACTGCGATCCTCAGATCTCAGCCTCCTGAGTAGCTGGGATGACAGGCGGGAGCCACCAGCACCTGGCTTCAACCACCATTCTTTTAACGATCACCATTTTCCACACGGGGAAACCGAGGCACCCAAAAGTTAATGAACCTATCTCATCCGTATACCTATCTAATCCTAACCTCAGGGTCCAGCTTTTTTACCTCTGTCCTATCACATCTCAGTAGTTCCAGGGAAACTCCAAGACCCCAGGAAAGACCCCAGGACTAAGGGAACTTCCTGAAGCCCTGGGGACCACTAGGAAGGCAAAGAATGTTAGAGGAACTGGCTGGAGGAGCTGGATTCTTCTCTTATAGCCTTGGGCAACATCTGGATTTCTGTTATTCTATCCTGGAGCCCGTGCATAGACGGACATCACTGGGACAGTTGGCTTAGTGATCAGGCTGCTGACCTTCCTTCCTTCCTTCCTTCCTTCCTTCCTTCCATGACAGATGTGAGCCACCAGAATTTGGCTTCCATGAGACTCTTATCTCCGATGAAATACCGAAAGAGCCGGAAGTTGAGCAGTGGCTCAAGTGGTAGAGCGCGCTAGCCATGAGCAGACAAAGCCCCAAGTTCAAGCTCCAGGACTGGAGCTTGAAAAAAAGGCTTTCTAGCTGGGCGCTGGTGGCTCACGCCTATAATCTTAGCTACTCAGGAGGCTGAGATGGCTTGGGCAGGAATGTCCATGAAACTTTTTTTTACCTCCAATTAAAACAGCAAAAAGCTGGAAGTGGCACTGTGGCTCAAGTGGTTAAGTGCCAGCCTGGTGTGGAAAAAACTAAGGGAAAGAAGCATCCAAGGCCTTGAGTTCAAGTCCCTGGAACTAGCATACATACGCACATGCACAAATAATCTATCCTGAGCGTAGGCCTTCCTACCTGGGTGGCTGTCCTGGCTCAGAGTGAGTGGTTTTTGGGGCAAGCATCTAAAGACCCATTTGAGCTGGGCACTGGTAGCTTATGCCTGTAATCCCAGCACCTTGTGCCCTGGCTTGGCTCTTTTTTTTTTGTTTAAGGCTGAGCCTTAAACTTGAGCCACACTTCCATTTCTGCCTTTTGCCCAGTTAATTATCTATTAAAAAAAAAAAGTCTCATGGACTTTCCTACCTGGGCTGACTTTGAACCTTGATCCTTAGATCTCAGCCTCCCGGGCAGCTAGGATGACAGGCGGGAGCCACTGACAAGTGGTGATTGATCAGTTTTGATACGGTTTATTGGAGATAAAAGCCTCACAGGCTTTCCTTCCCAGGCTGGCTTTGAACCACGATCCTCCAGATCTCAGCCTCCTGAGTAGCTGGGATTACAGGCGTGAGCCACCGGTGCCTAGCGATCATTCCCAGTTCACAGTAGAGGTGAGCAAGCTCACTGGCCTCTACTATATGGTTAGGGGGGAGAAGAGTTTGTTGTTCTTTTATAGAAATCCAGGGTAGGATGCCTGGCCGCCAGCTGCAGGAGCCGTGATAGGGAAGGGTGCAGTACAGGGCTTGCCGTGGGGCTTTGAACTCCCTCCTTGGAGGAGTGGAGAGGGCTGGGAGCTGTAGTAGTGGGCCTGCACGTGCACACACATTGCGCGCATGCACGGAGTCTAACGGGGGAAACTCTCAGCAGGACAGTGATTTGGAGATTTGCAAGAAAGGCTTCTGTTGCCATGGTAACCAAGCGACGCCATCATGCCGCTAGGAAGCCACTGGTGTCTAAAGGGTTGGTGAAGAAAGGGCTGGAGCAATGTCTGTAGGGGAGAGTGACCTTGAGTACTTCCTTTGTGGCTGGAGGAATGACCTCAGCCATTGCATCAGGAACTGGGTGTGTGTGTGTGGTGTGTGTGTGTGTGTGTGTGTGTGTGTGTGTGTGTGTAACTCAGGGTGCTGGGAATCCAGGTACTGCCCTGTGTGCACCCATGTTTCCCAGTCTCAGCTTTAGCTGGGGACCTGTGTACTGGGTTATGGGGTCCTGCTGCTTGAACTCAGGGCTTGGACAGTTTTCTCTGAGCTTTTACATGCTTTTGTACGCTCAAGGCGAGTGCTCTACCATCTGCACCACAAGCTCCACTTGTGTCTTTTTGTTTTTGGCGGTTCATTGGAGAGAAAAGATTCTCCCAAAGCTGGGTACTGGTGGTTCATGCCTAATACTCCCAGCTACTCAGGAGGCTCTGATCTAGAGGATCGTGGTTCAAAGCCAGCCGGGACAGGAAAGTCCATGAGACTCTGATCTCTAGGAAACTACCAGGAAACTGGAAGTGGAGCTGTGGCTAACAGTAGTAGAGTTAAAAAAAAAAATGCTCAGGGACTGTACACAGGCCCAGAGTTCAAGCCAGAGTCTCACAGGACTTTCCTGCTTGGGGTAGCTTTGAACTGCGATCCTCTAGATCTCAGCCTCCTGAGTAGCTGGGCTGACAGGCGTGAGAACCTTTGTCTGTCCATTTACCATATGCCGAATGGTTTTCTCCTGACTCAAACGGGATCTTCCTTGTTTCTGTGTCTTAACGATCTGAATGTTGAGGACCTTCCTTCCTTGCTTTGTAATCTGTCTCCCGGGTCAGAGTGGAGAGGAAGGATGTCAGCCACATGAAGGAGGGAACCCCGGGAGCCCAGAGATTGCTGGGGGACAGGGGGGAGGAGGAAGAGGTGGGCACAAATAACGACTAAAAGACCCAGTGTTGATGTACTGGGGTCGGGGCGGGGCTCAGCGAGCAAAGGACTGGCATCTGAGATAAAGCATCAGGAAGTGCCAGGAGGTGGGACATTTGTTACACTGTCCAATTGCAAGCTGCCATCTGTGCCCCGCCCCCCCCCTTTTACTTTAGGAACAGGAGTGGGAATGATTGGCCGGGAATCAGTGACTCAGACCTGTCATCCGAGCTACTCAAGAGAGCCTAGAGCTCAAGAGCTGATGGTTCGAAGCCAGCCCGGGCAGAAAAACTTCATGAAGCTTATCTCCAATGAAACATTAAAAAGAGAATTAAAAAAAAAAAAAAAAGCCAGAAGTGGAGCTGTGGCTCAAGTGGTACAGCGCTAGCTTTGAGGGGAAAAAAAAAGGCTCAGAGTCAGTACCCCAGGCCCTGAGTTCAAGCCCCGGGACTGGGACCAAAAAAAAAAAAAAATGAAAGAAGTAGGAGGGATGGTCAGACTTTTATCCCAGGAGTCTCTGAGCAGGGTGAGTTCACAAGTCATGCCGTGTCTCCTGCATAGTTTATTGGGGGTTGATTATATTCATGTATGGAAATGTTGTAGGGTCTCCGTCTTTGTCTAGGCTAGCCTGGCCTGCAGTCTTCCAGTTTATACTCCATGCATAGCTTGAATACCACACGCACGCCACTGTCTCCAGTTTTTAGTTTGTTGAGATATGAGGGTCTGTGTGTGTGTGTGTGTGTGTGTGTGTGTGTGTGTGTATGCTGATCCTGAGGCTTGAGCTCAGAGCCTGAGAACTGTCCCTTACCTTATTCACTCAAGGTTGATGCTCTACCACTTTGACCCATAGCTCCTCTTCCAGGATTTTGCGTGGTTAATTGGAGATAGTTTCACAAGCTGGGTGTCGGTGGCTCACACCTGTCATCCTAGCTACTCAGGAGGCTGAGATCTGAGGATCGAGGTTCAAAGCCAGCCTGGGCAGGAAAGTCCGTGAGAACTCTGATGTGAGAACTCTGATCTCCAATAAACCACTCAGAAAACTGGAAGTGGCGCTGTGGCTCAAGCGGTAGAGCGCTCGCCTTGAGCTGAAGTGCTGAGGGACAGCGCCCAGGCCCAGAGTTCAAGCCCCACGACCGACAGCTAAGATGACAGATGTAAAGCCACTGGCATCTGATAGAGGTGGGAGTCTTGGGGACTTACAGCCTCGAACTTTGATTCTCCAGATCTCTGCCTCCCAAGTCACTGGGATGACAGTTGTGAATTAGCTTGGTCGCCGCCACCTCTGTGGCTCGGTGTCTACCACCATTCCTTCCTGACATGGGGTGTGTTCTTTGTCCACAGGAGCCTGTGTGAAATGCAGCAAAGGAGTGTTTGGGGCTGGCCAGGCCTGCCAGGCTATGGGAAATCTCTACCACGATGCCTGCTTCACCTGTGCTGCTTGCAGTAAGTGTGTGTGGCCTTGTAGGGTGGTTAAGCTTCTGGGGCTTGAACTCAGGGCCTGGGCACCTGTCCCTGAGCTTTTCTGCTCAAGGTGAGCACTCTACCACTTTGAGCCACAGCTCCACTTTCCTGCCCCGGAGTTGGCTTTGAATCACGATCTTCAAATCTCAGCCTCCTGAGTAGCTAGGATGGCACTCACCCAGTTGTCAGGTCAGTCTGGGTAAATACGGGTACCGTGCAAGAATCTTGAGTGTACCCAGATACACATATTGACAAGAAACAGCCACGTGTAGTTAGTTCATTTTTAGCTCTGAGAACCACACACCACAACCACAAAGGCAAATTTAAAAGAAGCCTGCTGCGTGAGCATTTGAGTGCAGCTATTTTTTTTTTTTAACTTGGGTGTGTTTTTTTCTCCTTGCAATTTGGGTTCACATGGGTGTATTTCTTTCTTCCTTCCTTTCTGGACTCGTGATCCTCATGTATACACAGCGAATCGTTTTTGATTTCCCAGGCGTATCATACATGAGCATCACATTAACGAGTTCTAGGGTCAGGGCTGAGTTCATTTGAACCACAGTGGGAGGGAGAGGGGTTTGCTGTGGTGGTGGGGGGGAGGGGGTTGTGGGTTGTCGGTGGCCCGCTGCTGGCCTGTTTCCTTGGATTTCCTTCTCGGAAGGAAGCATTCAGAAGACCGACGTGTGGGTGTCTGTGTGGCTTGGGAAATAAAAGTTCTCTTGTTTTGGGAGGAGGATGTTTGGTTACCATGGCAACGTGGGCTGTGGAGCTTCTCCCCTAACCCAAGCTCTGCCCACTGGCCAGCACAGGATCTTGCATGGGATGCTTCCCGGAAGCTGTTGGCACAGAGAGGAAGGAGCCTTCCTCTTCCTTTTCCCTTCCCTTTCTCTTTTTCCCTTCCCTTTCTCTTTTTCCTTTCCCTTTCTCTTTCTCTTTCCCTTTCCTTTTCCCTTTCCATTTCCATGTCCCTTTCCTTCTGTGCTGGTCCTGGGACTTGAACTCAGGGCCTGGGTACTATCCCTGAGCTCTTTTTGCTGAAGACTACCAGTTTACCACTGGAGTCACAGCACCACTTCCAGCTTGTTTTGGTGGCCAGGCTGGCTTTGAACAGCAATCCTCAGATCTCAAGCCTTCTGCGAAGCTAGGCTTGTAAGTATAAGCCAGCCGCCAGTGCCCAGCCTGTTTCTCTTTTTGGGGGGAGGGAGGTTTGAACTCAGGGTCTTATGTTCCTGCTTGACTTTTTTTTTTTTTTTTTTGTCGGTCGTGGGGCTTGAACTCTGGGCCTGGGCACTGTCCCTCAGCTCTTCAGCTCAAGGCGAGTGCTCTACCACTTGAGCTACAGCACCACTTCCGGTTTTCTGGTGGTTTATTGGAGATAGGAGTCTCATGGTCTCTCCTGCCCGGGCTGGCTTTGAACCGCGATCCTCAGATCTCAGCCTCCTGAGTAGCTAGGATTACAGGCGTGAGCCACCAGCGCCCGGTTTGCTTGACTTTTTTACTCAAGACTTGTACTGTACCATGTGAGCCACAGCTCCACTTTGGGCTTTTTATATGACTAACTTAGCAATAACAATTTTTATTAGTATTATAATTAACTTAATATTATAATAATTATAATTACTTTATTGCTATTATAGAGGTGTTGTACAGAGGAATTACATTTATACGAGTCAGGTAATGAGTTTATTTCCTTTTGTGTAGTGTCTTCTGTTCCCCTCTTTCACAGACTTTTTTTTTTTTTTTGGTCGGTCGTGGGGCTTGAACTCTGGGCCTGGGCGCTGTCCCTGAGCTCTTCAGCTCAAGGCGAGCGCTCTACCACTTGAGCCACAGCGCCACTTCCTGTTTTCTGGTGCTTAACTGGAGATAAGAGTCTCACAGCACCCTAGCTCTGGGGTTCACGCCTCCACCACCTCCCCTCTTCCCCCAGGGACCTGAATGCATCCACAAAAAGATTGATTTCCTGTTCAGATTCCTTAGCGTTTCTGAGTTCCATTGCCAGGACACAGAGTCTGGTGTGTTGGCTCCTTCTAGTGGCTGCACCTGTAACTGCAGCCTTACCAACCTCCATCACATCCCAAAGCTAGATAGATACTCTCTCCACTTTGGGATCAGACAGTGTGAGTAGTGACTTCCTTTTCCTTTTCGGTTGTTCAGTTCTCCCGAGGGTGGGCTGTTTGTGTCCTTGTCTTGTCTTCCGGTAAAAGGACAGAAGACAGCACACAAGCTTTCTTCCAGGTGACTGATGAGGGGTATAGGTTGAACAGTTATTCAACCTCGTCCTTGTTTGCTTTTCCAAAGATTGAGATCTCTAGACTCAAGAAGTCAAGCAGACAATTAAAATGAATGAAGTAAACAAGTAAAAAGAACTAAAATTAGTTTTACGGCTGTTGGTCAAGAAGTTGAAGTCATTTAACTGTGGGACAGTGACCCTCCCTTCCTTCCTTCCTTCCTTCCTTCCTTGTTTTTGGTCGGTCATGGGGCTTGAACTCTGGGCCTGGGCACTGTCCCTCAGCTCTTGAGCTCAACCACTTGAGCCATAGCGCCACTTCTGGTTTTCTAGTGGTTTATTGGAGATCAGGGTCTCATGGACTTTCCTGCCTGGGCTGGCTTTGAACTGTGATCCTCAGATCTCAGCCTCCTGAGTAGCTAGGATTATAGGCATGAGCCACTGGCACCTGGCTCTTTTTTTTTCTTTACTTTTGTTTCCTCTTTCTTTTTGGTGATGGGAGTTGACCTTAAGGTGTTCAGCTTGCTCAGTCAGATGGTCAATCACTTAAATCATGCCTCTGCTTCCGGCTTTTTGCTGGATAATTGGAGACAAGAGTTTCTTGGATTTGTCTGCCAGGGCTGGCTTGTTCCCAAGTGGTCATTTCAGTGGTCCTGATTTAGTAGGGTTTTTGTTGTTGTTGTTGTGTTTTGTTTTGTTGTTGTTTGGTTTTGTTGTTGTTGGTCATGGAGCTTGAACTCAGGGCCTGGGCCCTGTTCCTGAGCTCTTATGTTCAGGGCTAGGGCTCTACCACTTTGAGCCACAGCCCTACTTCCAGTTATCTGTTGGTTCACTGGAGATAAGAGTCTTGCCGACTTTTCTCCCCAGGCTGGCTTTGAACTGTGATCCTCAGATCTCGGCCTCCTGAGTAGCTAGAATGATAGATGTAAGCTACCGGTGCTTTGTTGGTTTGGTTTTGAGACCAGGCTTTTTTTTGTTTTGTTTGTTCTTTCTGTGTGTGTATATATGTGTATGTATGTGCTGGTCTTGGGGCTTGAACTCAGGGACTGGGCACTGTCCATGGGCTTCTGCTTTCCATATGATTTACCTATATGGCCCTTCCAAGGAATTGACTGTATTCGACATTCACCACCCACCCTTGTGGCCACATGCTGAATTACCGTTTTGTAACCTTGAGATGGACAGACAACACTAAATCCTACCAGTAGCAAAAATCCTTCTGGATAGTTCTGAAGCATAAATCTTCACAGAGGTATTGCTTTGTTTGTTTATTTTTGGTTCTGGGACTTGAACTCATGACCTCATGATTGCTAGGCAAGTACTCCATCCTTTGAGCCATACCACAGTCCATTTCCTGTTTTCTCTCCCTCCCCAAATCTGACCACCTTCCTTTACCCTGCTTTTTCTTCTTTTGTTTTCCTCCCTTAGGCCGGAAGCTGAGAGGAAAAGCCTTCTATTTTGTGAACGGCAAGGTGTTTTGTGAGGAAGATTTCTTGGTGAGTTGCCAGCTGTGTTGGGGGGGGACAGATGGGGGGCGTTGATGGCCTAGAGACATTTAGGCAAAAGACAAACAGGAACACTGTGTGGAAGGGGACTGTGGGATGGCTTGGTATATCCCTACTAGTGTGATGCATGTGCGTGTACACGCATGCGCGTGACAGACACAGGGCCTCCTACTTTAGCTCTTTCTCTGAAGGCTAGAGCTCTATCTATGACAGCCTTTTGGTAGTTCATTGGAGGTGACAGTCTCACTGGACTTTCCTGCCCGGGCTGGCTTTGAACCATGATTCCCCTGATCTCAGCCTCCTGAGTAACTGGGATTACCGGGGTGAGCCATCAGTACCCAGCAAGAATTTGCCATTTATTTTGTATTTTTATGTTTATTTGCATGGTTTCCCAAATGATCCAAGGAAACCCCTTCCTTGTGAAAACCAAAGAGATTACAGCTTTTTTGTTGTTGGTCATGGGGCTTGAACTCAGGGCTTGGGTGCTTTCCTGAAACTTTTTTTTTTTTTTCTCAAGGCTAGTACTCTACCACTTTGAGACATAACTCCATTTCCAGCTTTAGAGTGGTTTATTGGTGTTAAGAATCTCATGGAGCTGGGTGCCAGTGGCTCCCGCCTGTCATCCTAGCTACTCAGGAGGCTGAGATCTGAGGATCACGGTTCAAAGCCAGCCCAGACAGGAAAGTCCCTGAGACTCTTACCTCCAATGAACCACTGGAAAACCGGAAGTGGCGCTGTGGCTTAAGTGACAGAGCGCTCACTTTGAGTCGAAGACCTGAGGCCCAGAGTTCAAGCCCCCATGACCAACAACAACATGGCTGGCTTTGAACCACGATCCTTCAATCTCAGCCTCCTGCAGAGCCAGGATGACAGGCAACTATAGCATAGTTGTGGGGACCCAGACACAATGGTGGGGTGAGCATGTGGGATGTTAATAGCTTTTGTGGTCCTTGTGGCAGATTTCTACACAGAGCGACACGGTTTGATTAGAAGGTGCTTGCAGATCTGTTGGCTGCTGAAGATGTGGCAGGTCCATCTGCCAGCCAGGGTTTTTTTGTTTTTTTGTTTTTGGGTCCGGTTGTGGGGCCTGAACTCTGGGCCTGGGCACTGTCCCTCAGCTCTTCAGCTCAAGGCGAGCGCTCTACCACTTGAGCCACAGCGCCACTTCCAGTTTTTTTCTTTTTATGTGGTGCTGAGGAATCGAACCCAGGGCCTCAGACATGCAAGGCAAGCGCTCTACCGCTGAGCCACCTTCCCAGCCCCTGCCAGCCAGGGTTTAACTCTTTTTTTCCCTTCCCTTCCAGTACTCCGGCTTTCAGCAGTCTGCTGACCGGTGCTCCCTGTGTGGCCATCTGATTTTGGACATGGTAAGTAGGGACTCTGGCATGTTGTAGTAGCAGGAGGAAGTATTCAGGGGAGAAAAGGAATTAAAATGGAGATTATTATTTTTTTTTAATTTAATTTAATTTTATTTGTGAACATACTGTACAGAGGGGTTACAATTACATGGGCAGGATATAAAATGGAGATTATTTAGTTACTTATTTATTCTTGTCAGTCGTGGGGCTTGAACTCTGGGCCTGGGCGCTGTCCCTCAGCTCTGCAGCTCAAGGTGAGCATTCTACCACTTGAGCCACAGCGCCATTTCCAGTTTTCTGGTGGTTCATGGGAGATAAGAGTTTCATGGACTTTGTTGCCCGGGCTGGATTGGAACCGTGATCCTCAGATCTCAGCCTCCTGAGTAGCTAGGATGACAGGCGTGAGCCACCGGTGCCCGGTGGAGATCATTTTAATGGATGGCTCATGCCATCGGTGTCTCCTCCTTTGCGTCCCCCTAGATCCTGCAGGCCCTGGGAAAGTCCTACCACCCGGGCTGTTTCCGATGCGTCATCTGTAACGAGTGTTTGGATGGAGTGCCTTTCACTGTGGACTCGGAGAACAAGATTTACTGCGTCCGAGATTATCGCAAGTAAGAGGAGAAGGACGGGACTATACACAGGCCTCATTCGCTGAGCTCAGACCGGAGGGTAGCTATGTTGGCTGTGTGTTTATAGCTACTTGTCCTAGTTTTGGCCTGCTGGCTTGTTTGCAAGAATCCAGCCCGGGTCTCCAAGGTCAGTTGGTAGAGAAAGGAACTAGTTAATAAGCAGGGCACCAGTGACTCACGCCTATCATCCTAGATACTCAGGAGGCTGAGATCTGAGGATCACAGTTTGAAGCCAGCTTGGGCAGGAAAGTATGTGAGACTCTTAAGTCCAATGAACCACCAGAAAACCGGAAGTGGTGCTGTGGCTCAAGTGGTCGAGCGCTCGCCTTGAGCTGAAGAGCTGAGGGACAGCGCCCAGGCCCAGAGTTCAATCTCCACGACCGGACCCAAAAAAAAATTCTGTCCCTAGAAGGGATTGAGGGCCAGCTAGATGGCCTTGTCTCAGCTGGGAAAGATCTCACAGCAGTGCTGAAATGTTCTCCACAGGGCGTGGCCTGTCTCTTTTTGTTTGTTTGTGCCATGACTGGGATTTGAACTTGGGGCCTCTCACTGTCTCTTAGCATTTTCTTTTTTTTTTTTTGTTGGTCGTGGGGCTTGAACTCTGGGCCTGGGCGCTGCCCCTCAGCTCTTCAGTTCAAGGCGAGCTCTCTACCACTTGAGCCACAGTACCACTTCTGGTTTTCTGGTGGCTTATTGGAGAGAAGAGTTACAGACTTTCCTGCCTAGGCTGGCTTTGAACCATGATCCTCAGATCTCAGCCTCCTGAGGAGCTAGGATGACAGGCGTAAGCCACCAGTGCCCAATAGCCTCAGTCTTTATATAAAGACTGGATGGGGCAGGCCAGGGGACCCAGAGGCAAGAGGGAACCCAGTGCGGGCCCTGGGGGTGCAAATCAAGACAAGATGAATCATATGCCTTTTTCTTTCCTCCTCCAGGGTGTTGGCCCCCAAGTGTGCAGCCTGTGGGCTCCCCATCCTTCCTCCTGAGGTAAGGTGTTTTTCAGATGCACTCTGAGGCTCTTCTAAAATTCTGTGTCCTGGGGTGGGAGGCATGGCTCAGTTAGTAGAGCGGCAGCCAGGGAGCAAAGGTGTCAGGTCCTGAGTTCGAGTCCTGGTCTCATACCATAAAAAAAGAAAAAGAAAAAAATTCTATGTCCTGTCTGTCCTTAACATCTTTCTTTCTCACGTGGGCACTCCAAATGCCAGGTCTTTCCAGTATCGGTCTCTACACACAGGCTAACTTCTCTTACTTTCTATGAATTCACAGCAGAACAGAAAAGCTTGTTACCAGGCATCAGTGGCTCACACCTGTCATCCTTGCTACTCAGGAGGCTGAGGTCTGAGGGTCGTAGTTCAAAGCTAGAATATGATGAGACTTTTTTTCTGGTCATGGGCCTTGAACTCAGGGCCTGGGCGCTGTCCCTCAGCTCTTCAGCTCAAGGCGAGCGCTCTACCACTTGAGCCACAGTGCCACTTCTGGTTCTCTGGTGGTTCATTGGAGATGAGAGTCTTACGGACCTTCCTTGACCAGGCTTGACTTTGAACTGTGATCCTCAGATCTCAGCCTCCTGAGTAGCTAGGATGACAGGCATGAGCCACTGGCGCCCGGCCTTTAATAATGTTTTTATTGAGATTAAGTGATTACATACATTTCACAAATTTCCATTGCTCTTTTTTTGAGTTGTTTCTGACATTCCAGAAGGTTCTCTTGCCCCATCTCTTCTCAGCTCTCTGCTGTTTTTCTTACAAGCTATCCTGATCTCTGCTGATTTATCATCTTCCCCTAAGGCCTGTTACCCTAGGATCTCTTCCTCGCCATTCCATGGTCTGTGGTATCCATGGGCCCCTCACAGGAGTCTGTATGTCTTTCTCCATCCCAGGGTTCTGATGAGACCGTCCGCGTGGTGTCTATGGACAGAGATTACCACGTGGAGTGCTACCACTGCGAGGTAGGCCCCGCCCCCCACCATGCCCCGCCCACCTCCACCTCACCCTGCCCAGCTGAGACAGGTGTCTGGTGGCTCACGCCCTTCATCCTAGCTTACTCAGGAGGCTGAGATCTGAGGATCGTGGTTCAAAGCCAGCCTAGGGAAAGAAAGTCTGTGAGACTCATTTCCAATGAACCACCACACAAACACATGGGAAATAGAGCTGTGGGTTCAAGCAGTAGTAGTGTTGTTAGCCTGAGCAAAAACAAAACAAAACAAGAAAACCTCTGGGAGGGACTGGGAAGGTGGCTCAGTGGTAGAGTGCTTTCCTTGTATGCATGCGGCCCTGGGTTCGATTCCTCAGCACCATATAAGCAGAGAAAGCTGGAAGTGGCGCTGTGGCTCAAGTGGTAGAGCACTAGCTTTGAGCTGAAGAGCTGAGGGTCAGTGCTCAGGCCCAGAGTTCAGGCTGCCACAACCGACAAAAACAAAACCTTAGGGACAGCACCCTGGGTTATGGTATTGGCACAAAAAGAAAAAGAAGAAAACAAAAAGAAACAGGTCGGAGAGCCAGTGTCTCATGCCTGTCATCCTAGCTACTCATGAGGCTGAGAGCTGAGGCTTGAGATTCGAAGCCAGCCTAGGCAGGAAATTCAGTGAGATTCTTACCTCCAATAAACCACCAGAAAACTGAAAGTGGTGCTGTGGCCCCAAGTGGTCGAGTGTTAGCCTTGAGTGGAAAAAGCTCAGGGATGGAACTCAGGCCCTGAGTTCAAGCCCCACTACCGACAAAAAAAGAAAGAAAAAAGAACAAGTGGGGTTATTTTATTCAATCCAATGGACCCTAAATGTGATCATTTCAACATGTAGTCAATATAGAAGGTCCTTTGCGCCTGGTGTGGTGGTGCATGCCTGTAGTCCCAGCATTTGTGGAGGTGGAGGAGGAGGAGGCCTGCTAGTTTGAGGCAAGCCTGGGCTTCATCTGAAACTTGGGTCCTACCCTTCTCCATGAGCCTCTCCGAAACCACATTAACTACAAGAAGGTTCTTTTGTTTTGGGTCCTCTTTTTGCCCTAAGTCTTAGAAATCCAGTATGCTTTTCTTCCAGTAACATAGCTTAGTGAGCTGCCTCATTTCAAGTGCTCGGCAGGGACAGGTAGTACATGGCTCACATACTGGATGGACCTTCTAGAGCAGAAGCTGCACAAAACATACAACATCCTCTGCTGCTTTGGGGAACTGGGGAGCATCATATCCCCCCTTTTTTTTTTCTGGTGTGTGTTGGGATTGGGCTTGAACTCATGACCTTGTGTGCCCAGTTTAAGTTTTGTGGTTTTTTGGCCCATTCAAGATTGGTGCTCTACCACTTGAGCCACACCTCCACTTCTGGCTTTTTGCTGGCTCATTGGAGGTAAAAGAGTCCCGTGGATTTGTCTGCCTTGGGCTCGCTTTGAGCCATGATCTTCGGGTTTCAGCCTAGATTACAGGCCTGAGCTACTAGTTGGGTCCCACCTTTCATGTTGCTCTTGCAGACTGATTTGTTTTACTTCCCTCTCCCATTCCCCGCCTTCCCCTTCCTCCTGCCCACCCCCCACCCCAGGACTGTGGTCTAGAGCTCAATGACGAAGATGGGCACCGCTGCTACCCGTTGGAAGACCACCTGTTCTGTCACAGCTGCCATGTCCAGAGGCTGGACACAAGCCCCTCATCCGCACCCCTCCATCAGCACCACTTCTAGCCAGAGCCATTTGGTGGGCCTGGGCCAGGGCTGTACCCGGTGTAGAAATGGGGTGCAGGGAAGAGGAGGGGAGCGGTGGGCAAGCAAGCCCTCACATGGGGGGAAGGGGTGCCTTGATTTTTTTTAGCCAGGGAGTTGGGCATTGCCTGTCCTGGTACATGTGTTTTCCAAGCGCTTTTGCTCCATTGCCACACCCCCAGTCAGATGACTCAGGTAGATTCTACAGTGTGTGTGTGTGTGTGTGTGTGTGTGATCTCTGACCTGCGATTGCACCCCATGTGGCTCTTCTGGGGAGCAGTTTACAACCTCCTAGGGTTGGGGAGAGAGATTTGCATTGGTGCCTTTTGTGAACATCTCCTGTAGGAGACAGCTCAGATGCAGAGACAGTGGATCCTTTTCCTCCTTTAGAAAAACACCTGCACTCACTTCCTGCATTCCCCTCCCACGCCCTCATCCACACTCACCCCAACTGTGACTTCTTAGGACCCCCAGAGCTTTTAGCTCCTCTGAAAAATGGCCGTGGACTTTTCAACTGCCCTTGTAGGCTAGTTCTCACATGGCGCTTTGTATTAAGCCAGAGTGGAGCTTTGAAATTAGCAAGGCCTTACTTTCCTTCCAATACTCTGACGTCATGCCCAGCTGCACCTGCCGGCCCCCCCCCCCCCCCCAGCCCAGATCTGCTGTCATCCAATGCAGCTTTGGAAGAAGAGCTGGTGCAGGCGCTAGGACTCTTGCCCGTCTCTTTGTGCTGTTTTTCTTGGAGTTTTGGTGAGAGTCTGAGACTTTGGAGCTCCTCCTGTCGAGACAAATCTTGGGATATGAGATCATCTTGGTCACCCATGCTTGGTGGATGGAGCTTATTTAATGATGGGCTTTTTTTCTGTCCTGCTCCACATACTAGGAGCTAGCTCCTTTATGACAAGTTGTGTGTGTGTGTGTGTGTGTGTGTGTGTGTGTCTCGGGGGAGGGTGGATGGCATCCCTAAGTCAGCATAAAGGAGGGGCACAAACACCTCAAGATAACTTATTCATTTCCGAGGTTTCTTTCGTGCCCACTTTTTGCACAAACATTCTATACTGGAAGAAACCATTTTAAGGTACACTGCTTTTGGTCTTTTTTTTTTTTTTTCTCCCGTTTCCACTTTCAGTCTTTCACACACAAACATACCTCAGAGAGAGAGCTTCACCAAACCACAGATGAAGGATTTCAGTCATCATGCCCGATATCTTCAGTCTGTGAGAAATTGCTGATTTTATAGCCGGGCGCTGGTGGCTCACGCCTGTCATCCTAGCTACTCAGGAGGCTGAGATCTGAGGATCACGGTTTGAAGCCAACCCTGGCAGAATAGTCGGTAGAAAGACATTTATCTTCATTGAACTAGCAAAAAGCTAGGGGTTGAGCTGGGAAGGTGGATTAATGGTAGAGTGCTTGCCTGGCATGCAGGAAGCCCTGGGTTCAATTCCTCAGTACCACATACACAGAAAAAGCCAGAAGTGGAGCTGTGGCTCAAGGGGTAGAGTGCTAGCCTTGAGCACAGACTGGCACACACACACACACACACACACACACACACAAAGCTAGACATGTAGGTGTGGCTAAAATAGTAGAGCTCCAACCTTGGGTAAAAAAGATAAAAGGAAGGGATAATGCCCCAGGCCCTGAGTTTATGCCCCAGTACCAGCACAAAGAAATGGCTGGCTTCACGGATCACACTGCCAGCTGGTCAGGGCAGTGTGAACTGGAACTAAAGGTTACCTGGGCCCTCACCCAAATTTGTCACTGTGACATTATGGCTTTCAGCATGTGCATTGCTTGGGTGGCAAAGGTGAAGGGAGGGACCATAACATCACCTGTTGCTCTGCAAGTCACTTAGGACCAGATTACTGTCCACTGGTTCTTAAAAAAAATGGGAGAAACTGTAGAAAAAAAAAAAAAAATAGAAGCTGGGCACTCACGGCTGTCATCCTAGCTACTCAGGAGACTGAGATCTGTGGATGGTGATTTGAAGCCAGCTCGGGCAGGGAAGTCCATGAGACTCAACTGCAATGAATCACCAAAAGAAAAAGAATCCCCCCCAAACGGGTTATGAAGTTGTGGTTCAAGTGGTTTGAGTGCCAGCCTGGATCAAAAGAACCACGTGAGAGCAACCGGCCCTGAGTTCAAGCTACAGGATTGCCACCATAAAAAGAAAAAAGACACTTTGCCCAATGGCCGGCCTCTCTGCCTCCCTCCCCTTCCGCCTAGAGCCAGAGGACTGTGCGTTGATTGGGCCATGGAGCCCTGAAGCCACGGTGGAGCCCTGAAGCCACGGTGAACTCAGGCTTTTCTCTGGTGCCTACTCCCCTTGGAACCGGGCATTTTCCCACTGATTGGGTTGGTAGAAATAGTAAGTGCCTATGAATAATAACAGAACTGACACCTGGAATTGCCTTTTCTAAAAAGGTTTTTGTTTTGTTAAAGAATTTATACATTTTATTCTATTGGAACTTTCTGGTCAGAGATTACTTCCCCAGGTCCTAAAAATTGCAATCATGCGGGGAATAGGAGAATAGAGTTTTGAGTCTGGGTTCCTTTTCTTGCCATCAGCATTGGCAAGGCTGGTGGGAATACAGAGACAATCTGTAAGATGGCTATCTTATATCTTACTGTCACCTTTGGCACGCTGGCTTTGCCAGAATGCCTTGGTTCGACCTTCGGATTAAGCAGAACGAAGAAGATTGCATTGGAACTCAGGAAGTACCAAGAATTGATTTGCACAGTGAGATTCTGAGTAAATAAGGTTCTGTGACTCATCTTCCAAATGCTATTTTTAAAGTGGTCTTGACTGGAGGTGATTCAGGTGTGTTTGCCAATACATTTTATATTGCTGCCAATGAACAATAAAGGAATTTTCTAGCGGTCCCAGAGATCCAAGCTGTGAATTTTCCTGAAGGTCTTTTTCCCCCCTGGAGCGGGTATGAATGAAAGAGGTCTCAAATTAGTTTGGGGCAACCCAAAGTTTACCTGGGGGTTTTAAACGTTTTATAAACGATAGCCAAGCTGGATGCTGGTGGTTCACACCTGTCATCCTAGCTACTCAGGAGGCTGAGATCTGAGGATTGTGGTTTGAAGCTAGCCTGAGCAGGAAAGTCGTTAAGAGTCATCTCCAATGAAGCATCCCAAAAGAGGAGGAAGTGGAGCTGTGGCTCTTGGGGTGGTCTTTTATTTTTCGGTCAGTTGTGGGGCTTGAACTGGGCCTGTGTGCTGTCCCTGAGCTTTTACTGCTCAAGGATAGGGCTCTACCACTTTGAGCCACAGCTCCACTTCTGGTTGTTAAGTGGTTAATTAGAAGTCTCCTGAACTTAACTGCCTGAGCTGGCTTTGAACCATAATCCTTAGATCTCAGCCTCCATTAATTTTTTGGGGGGAGGCAGGGTGGTCCTGGGGCTTGAACTCTGGGCTTGGGTGTTGTCCCTGAGCTCCTTTTGCTCAAAGGTAGCACTCATCACTTAAGCTATAGTGCCATTTTTGGCTTTTTTTGTGATTAGTTGGAGATGAGTCTCTTGGACTTTGACAAGTCTGCTGGCTTTGAACCATGATCCTCAGATCTCAGCCTTCTGAGTAGCTAGGATTACAAGCTTGAGGCATGGGCGCCCAGTTTAGAGTGTTAATCTTAAAGCAAAGCCCAGGGACAGCATCTAAGGCCCTGAGTTCAAGCCCCAGGACCAGCACATACACACAAAAACTAATACTTTCAGAATGAGAATTAGCTTCATTTTTCTTGGTGCTGGAGTTTGAACCAGATTGGAGTGCTAAGCAGGCACTCCATTCCTCATTTCCAGCTCCAACTTTATTTTTGCTAGTCCTGGGGCTTGAACTCAGGGCCTTGGCACTGCCCCTGAGCTTCTTTTGCTCAAGGCTAGCATTCTACCACTTGAGTCACAGTGCCACTTCCAGCCTTTTCTGCTTATGTGGTACTGAGGAATCAAACCCAGGGTTTCATGCATGCTAGGCAAGCACTCTACTATGAAGCCACATTCCCAGCCTATCCAACTTTATTTTTATTCCCAATAATTTTCTTTAAATTTTTGTATTGCTATTATAAAGGTGATGTACAGAGGGGTTAGTTAATACCTCAGGTAATGAGGACATTTCTTTTTGGACAATGTCACAACTTGCTACTCTATCCCAGTTTATTATTATTATTATTATTGCCAGTCCTGGGGTCTGAAGTGTTAAGAGTGTAGCATCCATGAAGCCCTGGGTCATATTCCTCAGAAAGAGCTGGAAGTGGTGCGGTGGCTCAGTGCGGTAAAGTGCTAGCCTTGAGAAAAAAAGCTCAGGGACAGTGCCCAGGCCCTGAGTTCAAGCCTCATGACCGGCAAAAAAACAAAGACAGAAGTAACACTGTGGGCTCAAGTAGTAGAGTGCTAGCCTTGAGCCTGTAGAGCCTCAGGAACAGCGCCCAGGCCCAGAGTTCAACCCAAGGGCCAGCAATAAATGCATAAAATAAATGCATGAATAAAGTCACTCAGTAATTTTCTGTATTTTTTATGGTTTCCTCCATGGGAGGTTATCTTGGAAAAAAACAAAAACAAAAACGGATCAATCCCTGAGTGATGGGTTAATAAATAACGTCCTATGACTCACCCACTTCCCGATTTCCAGTCTTCTCGACCTTGGACATATAGATGTATGTATATGTCTTATATATGTATCTGTACACGTGTATATATATATTTAAATTGTTATTCTAAAGGTGATGTAGAAGAGTGACGGTTACATATGTCAAGTAAAGGCGTATATATATATTTTTAAAAAGGATACATTTCTCCTTGGACAATGTCCTCCCCCACCCCCAGCCTTAGACGACTTTAAAAAAAAAGATTTATTTGGTTTTGCTTTCTCAGGTCTTGGATCTGGTGAGAGGCTTGAGGGCCTGCCGTGCAAAGCTCGCCCAGGCTTTAGGGGGATAGGTTTAAGTTCTGGAAGCCAGGGTGGTGGGTTCTGAGGGCGGTGAGGGCCCCCAGGCCTCCCCCCCCCCCAGGACGCGCGGGCCTGCGCCCCAGCGCCCCGTCTCTCGCCATCTGCGGTTCTTAAAGCAGGGTGGACTCGGGGGGGGGGGGGGGGGAGAGGATGGCGAAGACAAATTTAAAAAAGAAACACACAACAACCATGAAACGTAAAAAAACAGAAGAAAAAGGGTCGGCACCAGCCCGAGCCAGCCAGGAGTCGAACCTAGAATCTTCTGATCCGTAGTCAGACGCGTTATCCATTGCGCCACTGGCCCGAGTGCCGGCTGGAGCCCTACCGCGACGGCTGATCACCTCTTACGCAGTTTCAACAGGCTTCCGGACACACCAGTCACCAGCCTCCGCTCGGCTCCCCGGGCGTCCCGGGCCGGCGCCCGCCCGGCCTGCCGCAGCTCCGCCTTCTCCTCCTTTCCTCTCCTCCCCCCCCCCGCCTCCTCCGCACTCCCAGCCAATCCGCAGCGTGAACGTCATGACGTTCTCCGGCAGGCTCCAACGTTTCCCCCTCCTCCCCTCCCCTCCTCCTCCTCCTCCTCGTCCCAACCAATCCTGGACCGCCACGTCACGGCGCCACGCCCTCCTCCCCCACCCCCAACGTCGTCGTTTTCCCCGCCACGCCCCCTCACCGCGGCGTCTGACGTCACCCTCCGCGCTCGTC